AGTAAAGAGCAGGTAAAGGAACCTCAGAGCTGGGCTCATAGCCATCACCTTCCTGCAGAAATAATAAAGGGTGCAGTAGCATGAGGGTCATTCCTCCCTCCCCCTTGCAGGTACCTCTCCAAGAAACTGGCAGTGCAAGTACAAGGCCAGCCACGGGGTGGCTCTCCCCATGGGACAAAGGCTCAGTGATGGGGCTACTCACTTGTTAATGATTCTTTTCCTGTCTGTTGCTGTGTTAGATGCTGCATTCCTAGCAAGAGAGAAAGCAAAAGCTGATGCAGAGTTCTATGCTGCTTGGAAGCTAGCTGATTCCAACAAGGTGAGCACTTGAAGGCTGGTCACTTGAAGGAGAGGATTTGCTTACTCTTTCCCTCTGCACAGGCGATTAGGTTAAAGTGGGCAGCACTGAAGAAACACTTGGTTTAACAACCCAGGAAGCAGCTGCCTGAGAAGAAGTCTAATGATGTAGGGCCCAGAAGGTTCTTACAAGGTCTGGTTTCTCTTTTTGTAGCTAAAACTTACCCCTGAGTATCTGGAACTAATGAAATACGAAGCAATAGCTGCCAACAGCAAGCTGTATTTTGGTGACCGCATCCCCAGCGTTTTTCTGGATTCCTGTGCCTTCCAGCAAGCCAATCTGAGGACTACCCAAGAAACCAACCTTCCTTCACAGGAGGCCCCAGAGACCTCTGGAGAAAACCACCTCAGAGCAAAGGAAAGCACTGGCTGACAGAGTTAGAAGGATACCTGGTGTAGCTCAACAGCTAGCCTAGCTGTGAATGGGGATGTTGCCCTGTGCTACTGGGGCAGATGCAGCGTGGACATCCTGTGTATAGGTGGCAGTTGGGTTGATTTTCTTCTAGCAACGCATTTGCAAGTGCTCTGCCTCTTCAGTTTCTTCCCCTGTTAAATTGGTGCTTCCAAATGAGGGATAATCCTGTACTAACATACCTATACTGGAATATTAAAAGACAGACACCAGGAAAGCCTTCCCTGCAGTAGGTGCAGTTATTTAGTGAGCATTACTCTGGAGGTAGGAGATGTGGCTTTGAGTGCTGTGTTGCCACCACTGGGCATTCCCCGGTGCTCCTCAGTGAGGCCAAGTGAAGAGGTTTCCTTCGTCCTGCCAATGAAGCTTTGTTGTGTGGACTCTGAGGCAGGTTTCTACCTGCGCTCTCTAACTCTCCTCAAGAACTCCAGTGGAGTGGGCTCTCCTTGGCTCTCCATATTGCTGCTCAGGCCAAGGTCTGGCCTGACAAAGAATGGTTTGGTGTGGAATAGGTTATTTGAATAGGATTTGCATAGCCATTATCTTCTTTCCTGTAGGCAGTGACACTAGATAACAACTTTGATCCTTAACAGGCTTATGTAACTCCCATCTCCAAGCAAGAGCCTCCCACTGGCTGCCTGTGACTGTAGTTTGTTTCAGCTGGGTGGCTGGGTCTCACCTTGCATCCTAAACCAGATTTCAGAGTGCATGGAGCACCTCCAAGCAGCTGTTTGGGAACAGAGCTGGGAAATCTTTGCTTAGGCCCCAGCCTCCCTCTAGGTTTTTTCATCAGGGAAGGGGGACTGAATTTCCACTGCTCCACCTTGCTGGCAAAGTGAAGAAGAGTGAAAGGACCCTGCTCTGCAGCAGATCAGATGTGTGACACCTCAACTGCAAAGTAGGTAAGGCATCATTGCCCCCAGTGCAAAATCCAATGCTCCAAGAAGTTGGACCTGCGTCGTGTGTCTTTGAACAGCCACAGCTGGGACTGTGTTGCTGGTCCTCTCATCACTGGCCAGGCTTTGCTGGTGTTTTTGTCTCCTGAGCGGTGCTGGCTCATGATCTTACCTCCTGATGTGTGTTGTAATATATCCAACCCTTGCTCCCTTTGTGCAGTGCAGGGTGAGAGAAAGAGGCATACTTGGGGGGTAAATCTGCTGGTGCAGTCTGTGTTCCTCTTTTCCTCTGTCCTTCCCTTTGCCTGTGAGGATGTGTGTGTTCCTAGGACCTGTTTCTCTTTGTGTTCTGCAATGATTCCAGAAGATGGTGGCTGGGGAAGCCAACTGGCAAGAGCTTGAGCTGGAATGCCATTCCCCAGCTGGTAGCACCACAGCATTGCCTGTCTCTGAGCCCACCACTTGTTCAGAGACCACCTTTTCTCCTCAGCCTGGAATATCTGTATGTTCGTCCTGCTTTCTGGTCCCCTCGGGTGCCCCTCAGATGGGCTGGTTGGTGCTGGTGTTGAGATCTGCCCCTGGCACCATCTGCAGCCTTGTGACAAGGGGAGGAACATGCCTAGCTTTTGCCTTGGTGAAACATTCAACCCAAAGCAGCCTGAATTTCACCTCTGCTAATGCTTTTCCCAGTGAGTTGTGTGGGCTTCAGGCTTTCCAGTGCTGCTTTCCTATCCTGCGTGGCTTGACTCAGAGGTTGGCAGTGTCTCTTCCTCAAGAAGGTTTGGTTACGTATGATGCCTTACGCTGTCTTAGCTCCTCTCCTGGCTGCCTCTCCATTTCTGCAGCAGAGCAGGGACACATTGACCCTGCCTCTCCTGCAGGCCAGCTTGGCTAACAGTAATACATGATTGTAGGACTTCGCAGCAGCTTCAGATGATGTTCTTTCTTCCTGTCTGCAAACCCAAGGCCCGGTTTGTTCTCTGCTCCAGGACACCAGTTCTTCAAACCCAGCCGTGGCTGGAGCCAGGAACCAGGTCCTTGCCCCAGTAGGAAGGCAGATGAAGGTGCTGAGGTTGTGCATGAGTGTGCTTCTTCATGCTCCAAGGAAGAGAGGATGCTGCTGTTGCCAGGAGGTGCCTCCAGTCTTGGTACACTGGGGTTGGTGACACAGCCATGTGCCATGCAGATCCCAGCCTGAGGAGCACTGACCTGAGCTATTGTATGGTGGGGCTCATGCCTTCACCTGCCAAAGGCTCCTCCTGGTGAAGAGCAGCCTTTGAAGGATACTGGGGGGCAGAGGAGCAGGAAGGATGTCCTTGTGATGCTGTAAGGCAGCATGGCAGGGCGAAGCTGAAACCCTTGACTGATGGCAAGAGTGGGCAGGCACAGCATGGGCCCCTTTAGACCCTGCAGTGCCCTCCCAGGGGAAGGGGCCAGGACAGAAAGGGGTTGGCAGTGTATTTTGTAGCTGTGGTGTTTGAACTGTCTCCTGGAAGCATTCTTTTGACTTGCAAGGTCCCTTTTTTCCTGTGGGAAGGGCTTCAAGGGGCCAGTGGAGTCACATCTCTTTGACCCTCCACCTCCGAAGCATTGCTGGCTTGCAGCAGGCGCTTTGCAGCAGGAACACATCCTCTCCTCACCCCACAGCAGCACTTCTACTGAATTTGGGGGCAAAGGCAGGGTTTATAGAACAGAAGCACGCCTGGAAGGGACAGAGACATGTCTGTCTCCATGTTGTGCTCACTGAGGTTGGGTGCTACTCAGTGTTGGTATCACACCCTGGGCATCAGGCTGGGTGGACAGGGGTAGGTTCTGCCAGCCTGGAAAAGACAAGAAGGGCACAGGGGCAACCACTAGAAGCAGTAACCAAGCAGCCCCCAGTTCTCCTTCGGTGGTCAAACTGCAGGGAGCAGGAAAGCCTTCCAGACCAGTGCAGGAAGGGCTGCTTCCCTTTGGATCTGAGCCTTGCTTACCCTCCCTACTGCCTTTCAGGTGGATTCATGGCTATTGCTGGCTAATTGTCATCCTGCTCTGTTTGGGTGTGCAACAGCCACCTCCTATCCCTGCGCTCTGAGGGATACCAAGGTGCAGGGTGCCACCAGGAACATGGGATTGAACTGGTTTTTTCTCTGTTCAAAAGCCCTGTGTGCTTCTGTGAGTAAAGGGGTCTGTCACTAGATCCACACCTTCTTTCAGAAAACATGGAATCGTAGAAGGGTTTGTTTGGAAGGGACCTTAAAACCATGATACATATGTTCAAGTTTACATGCACAGTGTTAAGTTCTTTTGATAAAGGAGAATAAAACTATTTTGTTAGAGTTTCCTTGGTGGCTTTGTGTGTCCTAGGGCTGGTTTCTCTGTAGGCATGTGGAGGGGGGACACTGTGCTTGTGTGCCTGCAGTGATAGTGCAGGGCCTGCACCTGGGGAGCCCTCCAAGCCTCAAAGCAAACCTGATGATGGTGCTGAGCAGCCAGGGGCAGCCCTTACTAGCAGAAACAGAACAGGCCTTTGTCCTCTCAAGATCATGCTGCCACTTCTCCCTCCATCCACTGCTTGTATATGGCCTACTGGGGAGGAGGGGGGGTGTTTCCTGGCTGCTGTGGTGTCCTGGGGGACGGTGGGCTGGTCGCTAAGCACCAATGTGGCTGCCAAGTATGGATGCTTGTGTTGGAGCAGGATGGTGCAAGCTGAACTGGAGTCGTGGAGGCCAAGTCTTTGTTCACAGAACAAGTCCAAGGCCTGGTTTGGCAGATGAGCCCCCACAGCTCCAGCACAGGATTTGGGAGCTTAGCTCAAGCCTTTCTCCCTCTTGAGCCCCACTGCCACCCTTCTGAGAGACACCCCTTGGTACCTTCAGTCTTTATTGGTATAAAAGCCTTCAAACCGAAATCATGTAAAAAACAGGGAGGTTTAACAACAAAATATCACATCAGGGTCATAAGTTAACGGCTGCAGTAAAAAGGCTCCCAGGAAATTCCTTTTCAGAACAGTGACTCAAGTGGTAAGTGCAGAGATAAAAGCCCCATTAGGAAGCCCCAGCCTGGCTTGGACCTGCCACAGCCCCCAGCGGGACTGTTCCCAGTCGGGGCAGTGGTTAGGGGCAGGAGGAGCAGGACACATTCAGGATGTCGGGAGAGAAGGCAGCAGCTCCCAGGGCACAGGAGAGCCTCAGAACCAGCACTGGCACTGTCCCGGCTCCTGGTGTCCGAGGGAAGCCCCACGGCGCTGTGGAGTCTGTTAAGGCACAACTCGATATCTGTAAACACTGGTGCCCCCCGGGGGCATTGCAGGGGGATTCAAGTAAGGGTGGAAGGGAGGCGGCAGCCCAGCTGCGGTGGCACATGGAGCATCCTTGGTCACCTCCTGGCCACGGGGGGCTTCAGGGCCACCTTCGGGGGGGTACCCCGCTGAGAGACCAAGGCAGGGGATGGTGCAAGGGCTGCTCCTGGTGGCTCCTTGTCGCTGCACGGCGCCTTGCTCTTCAGGGTTGGGAGAGGCTTGTGGGGAGGCTTTGGCTTCGGCTTCGCCTGTTCAGAAGAGAGACCCAAGGTATAGGATCCCAGCCTGGGTTGGGTTGAAGGGACCTTAAAGCTCACCCAGTCCCAACCCCCTTGCCACAGGCAGGGCCACCTTCCACTAGAGCAGGTTGCTCCAAGCTCCTGTGTCCAACCTGGCCTTGAACACTGCCAGGGATGGGGCAGCCACAGCTTCTCTGGGCACCCTGTGCCAGCACCTCAGCACCCTCACAGGGAAGAGCTTCTGCCTAAGAGCTCATCTCAGTCTCCCCTGTTCTGGCAGGTTAAAGCCATTCCCCTTGTCCTGTCCCCACAGCCCCTTGTCCAAAGCCCCTCTCCGGGTTCCCTGCAGCCCCTTGAGGCACTGGAGCTGCTCTGAGGCCTCCCCTCGAGGAGCTTTCTCTTGTCCAGGCTGAACACAAATGCCGTTGCTTGGGCACCAAGGAGGGATCCAGACGGGGACTGGGGGCAGAGGACGGCTCCCCCCCCCCCCACTCATCAGCCCCCGGCCCACTGCACGGACGTGCCCCACACAGCTGGGGCTGCCAGGCCGCGGGAGGCCGCCCCAGCACAAGGTGTTTACCTGCGGGCGCTGGCCTGGAGCCGCTGGAGATGTCACTGGGGGGACAGGAGCCGGCGGCTGCAGGGGCGGCAGGAAGCGGGGTGAGGCCCTGCCCTCCCACCAGCGCCCCCAGGCTGCCCGTGCTCCCCCCGGGTCCCTCACCTCTGGCGCCGGGCGGCAGGGCCCAAGGGCCCGAGCCCCCCGCGGGGCCGCCGTGCTGCTGAGCAGGCTGGGGGGGCCGATGTCACGGTGGGAGAGCGGCCGCCGGGGGGACCGCGTGTGGCCGCCCTCCTGGAAGAGCGGGTTGGCCAGGCCCGCGGTGGGGCCGCTGGAGCTCCTGCTGTGGGGCACAGGGACGCTGTGGAGCTGCTTCAGACACCCGCTGCGCTCGGCCCCGCTGTGGGGCAGACGGGGCGGGAAGTACCCTTTCTGGAAGCGCTTTGCCCCCCTGCCTCTGAGGAGCAGGATGCCGCCGCACAGCAGGATGCCGCAGGGCCCCAGCACGGCCAGCACGGCCACCACCACCACGCTGCTGCTCCCTGTGGAGGGAGACACGGTCGGAGTCGGGACGGGCATCCCGAGGGATGGAGCAGCGCCTGCCGGCACCGCCGCAGGGAGCCAACCCCTCCACGTGGCTGGGGGAGCTGGTGCCGGCCGTGCAAAGGGGGTTCCGTACCTGCCGCCACCCCCGAGATCTGGTGCTCGCAGTAGGGCGCTGCCCAGCCCGGCTCACAGTGACATTCCCGCTTGTGGTTGCACACCTGGGGTGAGGGAGGAAGGCATCAGGGCAGTGAGCGTGCTGCAGGAGCCAGGAGCAATGCTCTGAAAGGCCTCACAGCGTACCCCATGGTTGTTGCACTTGGCCGAGCAGTTCTTGTTGCCGTAGACCAGGAGGGTCTGGCAGCGCCCACCATAGCAGACCTGTGGATAGACAGGGGGGCTCTGAGTTGGCCCTGGGTCCCCATGGGGTGATCACCCCCACACCCCCCCCCCCAGACACCCCAGCATGGCTGCTCACCATCTCCTCTCCGCACTTGGCACCAGTGGGCACCAGCCTGAGCTTGGCCACCACCTCATTGGCATCGCTGCTGGCAATGACAGCCTTGCACTTGAAGCGTCCGAAGAAGAGGGAGTAGGAGCCAGCGCCAAGGACGGGGCTGGTGTTGTCGCTGAGGCACAGCAGTGTGCCGCACTTCACATCCCTGCGGGAGAGCACCCATGGGCAGCAGCAGCAGCAGAGGGGTTTGATCAACCCTGTGGAGCCAACGCAAACACCACCACCAGCACCACCCAGACCCTTACTTGGGGCTGCAGGGCCGCTTCCCGTACTCGGTGAGGCAGTGGAGATGAAGGTGCTGCTCGCTGTTGTGCTTAAAGCAGACATCAGGAGCCACTTGGGCCTCTGTGGGACACATGGAAAGAGTCACATGGAGCCAGAGCTCACAGCAGTGCCACTCTTCAGCATCCGCAGCCACAGTGCTGGGATACAGGAGGGGGACCACAGCCAAGCGATGGCTGGGTGAGCCACGGCTCCAGCACATCACCCGGTACGTGGGGTGAGGGTGGTGGGGAGCTGGTACCTGCGCCCCAGAGAGCACGGCACTGCTCGCCATGTGAGGGACAGGCCCCGTTGTAGCAGTAGCCATTGCCGTTGTGGCAGGAGATGCCGTTCTCCTGGAACACGTCCTCTGGGCACTCGGCGCTCAGCCCGGTGCAGTGCTCGGGCAGGTCACAGTCGTTCTTGCTGGCCCGGCAGAGCACGCCAGCAGCCTTCACCTGCACAGGAGAGGGGGTGTCAGTGCTGCCCCAGTGCTCTCATAGCCCCACAGCACACAGGCACCACAGCCAGGCAGCGTCCCAAAGATCCAGGCACTACCAGGCCTCGGACTGGGCTGTCCCATGGTTAAATCTGTCCTTTCTGCTCTGCTTTCAGTCTGGACTTGCCCAAGGGTCCTCTTTGTGAGGGTGCTGAGGCGCTGGCACAGGGTGCCCAGAGAAGCTGTGGCTGCCCCATCCCTGGCAGTGTTCAAGGCCAGGTTGGACACAGGGGCTTGGAGCACCCTGCTCTAGTGGAAGGTGTCCCTGCCCGTGGCAGGGATTAGAACTGGATGAGCTTTAAGGTCCCTTCCAACACAAACCAGTCTGGGATTCTATGATTCCAACCCCGTCTCTGCATATCAAGGCATTTCTTATGCCTGTATGCAGAAACCAATGTATTTAACTCAACTTTCTTTTGGATGAATGGAACAGAAGAGGTTTCCTGCATCAGGAATGGGCTATGCTGATTGTTCTGAACATTGCCCAGTTCTTCAACACTCTCCATCCTGCACCTAACCTAACAGAGCCAGTGGGCCTCGGGTCTAGGATGACAGAAGCAGAGGCTGCTTCACTTCCCCAGCCTCTTCCCAGCAGAGATGATGACTGTTCATGCTGAGAGAGCATTGAATGGAAGGACTGATTCCTCCCCTAAACCATTGTTGGAGAAATCACTCCATTTGGAATTGCTCCCTATGGCTCTGGGCAAAGGAAGCTGCTACAGAGGTACCCAGGTTCCCCAGCAGGCTATGGATTCACCTTGCCTCCACTGGGAAGCTCTGCAGGAGCTCCGGCTGGACCCCATTGGCACGTACCTTGCAGTCCTGGCAGCATTCCCCCCGGGCACACTCGGCTCCCTCTCTCAGCTGGCAAGTGGTGGCGTTGCAGCAGTTGTCGGAGCACTCCTGTGACACAGGGAGCAACTGGAACCCTCCCAAAACCCCTTTTGAAGGCCCTTCCCTTCTGGGCTTGGAGCACCCTGCTCCAGTGGAAGGTGTCCCTGCCTGTGGCAGGGGTTGGGACTGGATGAGCTTTAAGGTCCCTTCCAACACAACCCAGTCTGGGATGCTGTGATTCTAGGAAGCCTTGCAAAGCACGATGCCCAGGGAAGGGACTTGCACAGCCTTTTCTGAGTCTGAATGACACCCCTCAGGTCCCTGCCACCCCTGTTCTTCCTGGGCTCTGGGAGCACATCCCTACCTCCGGCACGCCGCAGTCGCACTGCTCTCCCCGCTCCACAAACTGGTTCCCGCACACGGGCCCCCCATAGAGCTCGTCCGCCCTGGGGACGTTCAGCAGGCAGCTGGTCCTGGGGTCCCCGAGGAACTGCCACATGTCCTGCTCGCTGCAGCGGCTGAACAGCTTGGGGTAAACCAAGCTGAAGGGGCACAGAAACAAGGCAGCCGTGAGCATTGCTGCGAGCCCAAAGGGTCCTCACACCCAGCAGCCCAGGGAGAAGCTGGAGGGGCCACCGAAGAGACTCAAAGGCACCAACAGACCTTTGGAGTGCAGCTTCGAGTGGAGTGTCCACGCGGACCTGACCATCTCCCAGGCTTCACCCCATCAAGACAGTACTGGAGGACACCTCGAAGTGTTTGCTGCCCAGGGATATTCCCCTGTCTCCTTCACTCACCCAACACTCGCTGCCATGACACAGCCGCCATCAGCTTTGGGGACAGGACAGCGGCAGCCGGCCACGTCTTCATCGTGAGACATCCCCAGGTTGTGCCCCATCTCATGAGCCATGGTGGATGCAGCACCAATGGGATTTGTGCTGTGGTCCTGTGGGACAAGAAGTGCAGTGTGGTTTAAACACCCTCCACAGCACCTCCATGGAGCCACTGGTGCTCTCCAGCTGCTCAGTGTCTGTGATGAGGCCCTCAGTGACATGGGGTAGTGGTGGCCTTGGCAGTGCTGGGGAACGGTTGGACTGGATGACCTTTTCCAACCCAGTCGATTCTATTTGTTCCCTAATTGCTGCCACGGTGAGGTAAAGGAAGACAAAAGCTGGACTTGTTCCCATGGTCCCTGAAGACCTCCAGGGTGGGGTATAAGTGAGCTCACATATAGCATCTACCCTGAAACAATGCTTTGTGGTGGTTCTGGTCAGCTGCAGGTCCCATGGCTAACCACGAAGGATGCCCTCCCTGCGGAGGGATGAGCAGCACAACCAGGATGGTGGCTGAAGAGCAATTGTAAACCAAGTCCCAGCCACTTGGCAGGTGGTAGGAGATGCCCTGTGCCGCAGAGCTGCTTGGGGAGGCTCTTCAGGGCTCAGCTATACCAGAGCCCTCCACTGGCTTTCCATGCTTTGACCCCTGACGCTTTGGGGGGGTCAGAGATGCCAGGGACCATATCCCTATGGAGGCTAAGAGGAAAGCTGGAGAGCAGCGGAGGAGAGACCACCAGCTCTGTGGAATACAGTGCAGGGAGGGCAGACAATGGGACCATGCTGCCCTTCCCATGCATGCCTGGCCAGTGGGACCCACCTGGTTGACACCACCGGAGTCCCTGGTGCACATCACAAGCTTCTTGGCAAGCCCTACAGTTGTGCCATGGAAGTCTATGCCCCTGTGTGGGATGGAGATGCCACCGAGGCCACCACCGTGTGGCCTGAGCGGCAGTAGGGCTGCAGAGCAGTGCGGTGCTGTTCCACACGCTGTCCTTACGTGATGAGCTGGGCATTGTCATGAGGCTTCCTCCGCAGCAGCTCTGCCTCCCGCCAGTGCAGGAAGTTGTCCAGCGTCACCTCTGGGTTGGGGCTGACCACGATCTTGTCCTTGTAGCTCCACACCTCCAGGCCGATCAAGGCCACCCGCAGGCGAAGAGGCTGATAAAGCTGGGGCAGGAGACAGAGGCAGCGCTTGGATTTGAGCTGCACCAGCAGAGGGAAGGTCCCACCTCCTCTCTTTGGGGAACCACAGCCAAGCCCAGGACGCCAGGAATGGGCTGCCCAGGGAAGTTGTGAATGCTCCATCCCTGGTGGTGTTCAAGGCCAGGTTGGACAGAGCCTTGAGTGGCATGGTTTAGTGTGAGGTGTCCCTGCCCATGGGAGGGGGGTTGGAACTGGATGACCTTAAGGTTCTTTCCAACCCTAACTATTCTATGATTCTATGACCCAACCTCACTGTGCAACACCAGCTCTGTCACACCCTCAATACGTCACACAAGATGGGGTGACTACGTAGACAGGGTTTACTTGGGAACTCTGGGCTCCCTCTTGACCAGTGAAGGCTGCTCCCATGCTGCTGACCAAAGAGGCTGAAGAAAGGCAAGCAGAAACCCCACCTTGTTGCACAGCATCCATCACCCTCCCCTTGTTAACACCTATTCCAGCCTGGGAGCGGCCAGTGCTCCCCAGGGGTTACAAGAAGACACTTCTGCTTCCTTCCCTTATGAGAGAGCTGGGATCCAGTTGTCCCATGCTCCTGAGGACCAGGGCTGAGCTGTCCTGTTGGCCAAGGTATCTGAGATGGGCTCCAGCTCCACCACCCACGCCAATCCCTCCTCTATCCTGTTCATGCCCGTGCTGGCACTGCAGGAGCTGGAAGGGCAGATCCAGACCCCTGGGCTCACCTTGTCAACGTGGTTCACGATTTCCTTCATGCGGTTCTGCACCGTGCGCAAGTCCTTGTGTTTCCTGAACTATGGACACAGAGAGATTTCCAGGCTGGCTTCCACCTCCTCATTGCAGTGGATGAGAGCAAAACCACAGGCAGCAGCTTGCCCCCAGTCCTGCTTACCTCTTCATTGTCCACAACCAGGACCAGCTCCACGTATCGGGGACCTTTGTGTAATGGAGTTGATTTCTGGAAGGGAAGAGGAAAGTGAGCACGAAGAGGGGCCCAGCTCTGCAGCTTGCTAAGCCCTTTTGTAGGACGTGTTGTATCCTAGGGCATCTCCCATTGTTATTTAGGGCTAGTCGGTCTTCTGGCTCTGCTTCCTGATGTTACTTTGCTGGATATTTCAGTCATCTTCCAACATACATTCCAGTGTCTGAAGGGGGCCTACGAGGATGCAGAGAGGGACTCATCATCAGGGACTGTAGTGATAGGACAAGTGGTGATGGGTTCAAACTGAAACAGGGAGAGTTCAGGTTGGAGATAAGGCAGAAGCTCTTCCCTGTGAGGGTGCTGAGGCGCTGGCACAGGGTGTCCAGAGGAGCTGTGGCTGCCCCATCCCTGGCAGCGTTCAAGGCCAGGTTGGACACAGGGGCTTGGAGCACCCCGCTCTAGTGGAAGGTGTCCCTGCCCGTGGCACGGGATTAGAACTGGATGAGCTTTAAGGTCCTTTCCAACCCAAACCATTCTATGGTTCTGTGTTACAAGCAAGAACCGAAGCCTGCTACTGGAACAAAGCACAAGATAGATGGGCTTTGCAAGCATCATGGAGCTCATGGGGTAGGAGGATGCTCCTGCTACTGGTACAGTATCTGAGGACTTGTTCCCACCAGAAGCTAGGCCCCTGGGAGTAACCTGTGTTTAGATACCCAACCAACAACGCATGGTGGAGGAGCATCTCCAGGAGATGTGGGATCACCCCACTCCTCCCCTGGACTCCACAGGACCCAGGCTCTTGCAAACTCAGCTACAGGAAGGAGAAGCAATGCAATCCTTAACCCATCGGTGGAGCTTCATGGCTGCAGGGATTTTTGGCTCATGGTCGTATTCCAGAGTGGCACTGGGCTCCCGGCATGTGCCACGCTTCCCCCTCAGGTGAGCTGCTCTGTACACTGCATGCAGGCCAGCAGCATCCTCCTCCAGGGGCTCCAGCAGGAACATGGTCCCATTCACCTGGAAAAACCCACTGCCAAGAGAGAAGGTGGTCATCACATTAGGGAGATACCCAGCACAGCACGAACAGACCCTATATGCGCGCCCATAAGTGGCTGTGATACAAAACATAGCTGGGAATCCCTGCCCCTTTATAGGTTCCCACAGGCAGATGGGATAAGCTGCAGGTCACTGGTGGGATGTGAGAGGTTCTTCTGGCCGTGTGCATGAAGCCACACTCAATGCAATGTCCCCAGCTGCCCCTGGGCAGTGCATGAGGACCCACAGAGGTACAAGAGCTCACAACAGCACAAGGGACTGAATGCTTCTTCCCTACAACGTCACTTGGCCAAGAGCACATCCAAGGATGGAGCTGACCTGGGGCATACCAGGAGATAATGAGCAATAGGAAATGTGCCCACAGCATTTGCTTTCAGGGGCTGCAGAAGCACCATTGGAACAAAAGGACGTTTAGGGAGGCTGGGAGCTGGCTGCTGGGCTGTGAGGGAGCAAACCGTGGCACAGCATCTGTGGCTGGTGGCAAGGGAGCATCCTATGCTTTGGGCAGCAGAGATGTGCCAGGGCTCAGCAAGGAGACCTGCTCAACACTGCCAGGCCAGGTTTAACACAGAGTTTCTGCTGAGACACTCTGGATTTCAGAATGCTTTCTGTAAGGTGTCCCATGTGCCCTGCCTGCATCATCCTTGTCTCCTGCTCTGCCCTTGCACATGTTAACATCAACATAAGGAGGACGTGGAGCTGTTGGAGCAAGTCCAGATGAGGCCATGGAGATGCTGCGAGGGCTGGAGCAGCTCTGCTCTGGAGCCAGGCTGAGAGAGCTGGGCTGGGTCAGCCTGGACAAGAGAAGGCTCCTCAAGGGGAGACCTCAGAGCAGCTCCAGTGCCTCAAGGGGCTGCAGGAAACCTGGAGAGGGGCTTTGGACAAGGGCCTGTAGGGACACGAGAAGGGGAATGACTTTAACCTGTGAGGGTGGTGAGGCGCTGGCACAGGGTGCCCAGAGAAGCTGTGGCTGCCCCATCCCTGGCAGTGTTCAAGGCCAGGTTGGACACAGGGGCTTGGAGCAACCTGCTCTAGTGGAAGGCTGGCAGGGGGTTGGAACTGGATGAGCTTTAAGGTCCCTTCCAACCCAAGCCATTCAATGGTTCTATGGGTCTAGGAGTTCAGCATGGCTCAGAGGAGATGCCAGCTGCCTGCAAGGCAGTGTATCTCCATGAGCACATCTTTGTGCTGCTGGCTGCAGCACTCAGGGGTGAGTTTGCTCTGGTCTGCCCTGGGAATGGAGGAGGGAGATGGAAAGGATCCTACCTGAGCCCGCCACAGGTGCTGATGCTCGCTGCTGAGTTGGTGTGTCCTTGCACGTGGCCCTGATAAAAGCAGTGGTCCTGCCGCCAGCAGAGATGAGAGGTGTGGAGGGGGAATGCACGGCAGGATCCCACAGGAGTGGGAAATCTGCTGTCCCTGGAGCCAGCCCCATACCTGAACATCCGGCTTCTCTGTGACCTCTGTGCCATCGGCCAAGTAGTGCGTCTCGGTGTAGTGCTGCCCCAGCAGTGCTCTGCAGGGTGGGGAAGGGGAATGAGCAGTGACTCCGGGAAAGGGTGGAAAGCAGAGCTTTGGGGATGAGGCTGGCTATGGTGGGCCCGTGGCCTCTCCCAGGGGGCTTTGGCAAGGAGGGGTAAACCAAAGGCTAAGAGCTGAGATCGCTGATGCTGTGACACCGGGACTTGCAGAACTGATGCTCACAGTGAGCCTCCCCCTGGCCCACCCGCACTCACTTGTTCTTCTCCAGCCTGAGGAGGTACTCCCTGCCTTCAGCACGGATGCTGTAGAGGACACGGTCAGGGTAGGTGCTCTGCGTGAAAGATAAAGAACATCAGAGACCTGCTGTCACCAGGAGCAAGAGCTACAGAAGAGAGCCCCTGCCCTACCCAGAAAGGGAATGGGGTCTACAATGGAAGTCAGCAGTGGGATAGGGAGCCTGGCTTCTCATCCTGTAGGCATCCAGCAAAAACACAGGATATCAGAAGGAAAGAATTGCATGTGGGCAATACCACAAATCCCTGCACATCCTGAGATAAAGAACAGGTCACCAGCAGTGAAACAGAGTCAGCAGTGTGGTTTCCTGCCTCTGACATGCGGCTGCATGAAACTAGTTTCCTACTCATCAGTCACAGAGGTCCTGTGCTGGGGACTGAGCTCAGCATTACTCACAGGCTGAATCATGAAGATCCCACTGCCCAGCAGCTCTCATTCCTTACCTCTGACCGATCTAACGTACACCACCACAGCTAGACAATAACCTCCTCTTGGTCTTCATCTCTACTGAGAGTCAATTTTAGTCTCAGCATGTGCTAGATCCCTCAAGCATCACCCTAGTGCTGATGGAAGGGACCTGATGGTCCAACCTCCAGGCCCTGTGCTTGGGTCAGGGTGAAGCCCTGAACCCTCAGGATTGAGATGTCTCTCCAGAAGAAACATTTCCCTCTGGGATGCTTTGCGCTCTCTACCTGCAGAGCTTAGGTCACAGACCTCTAGAGGTCCCATCTCACCACAATCATTGAGAGACATGATGCTCCCTTGCATAGTGCCCCATATCAGGCTGCACCCTTGGCACCAGGGACCACTGCAGCACAGAAACCTCTCCTGATAGCATCTCAGCTCTTGCAGGATCCCGGAATAGAGAGCTGAGCGAAAGGCAAAGCAAACACCTCCCAAGGGCCAGCATTCTCCTGGATGAGGTGTGCAGCCTCTCCCCAGGGAGGATGACGGCACCTGCTGTCATACGATGGCTCAGCATTCCTGGAGGGATGATCTACAGCCTGGCAGGAGCTGGGGCTGAGCAGGAATTCCTGCTGACTCAGCGCCAGTGGGGCCAGATGGGGTTTGCCCATCGCTCAGTTGCCTTCGGTTCTACTGGAGTTGCATTCCCAATCCAAAGCTGTGGGCTGCCTGCCACAAAGCATCCTCTCTGCGTGCCAAGTAGGTTGCAATGAGCCTGCCATGCTCATGGGTCCTGGGCAAATTCTTCTCTTATGAGCAGTGTCTCCTGCCTGACGTGGCCGTCCTGCCCTGTGTGCACCCGCAAAGCGATGCTTTGTTATTGCTGGCAGCGCTGGAGCCAGGAGAGGGCTTAGGGAATGGCAGGAAAGCCTCTGGAAGGGGGTGGTGGTTTCAGGGGCTGCCTGTTGGAGACAACCGCAGGGCAAGTTTAAAATAACACAGTCCTGATAAAGCTCCTCTGAATCAGCCCCCTTCTTATTCACACAGGCTCCAGATGGGAAGGGTTTGAAGCACAGCTCAGCCCTGCCCCTGTGCAAGTCCTGTAACCCCATGGCCATGCTGAGCAAGCAAAGCAGAGCTGTGGCCACAGCACACAGAGAGGAGGGGTTTCTTCCAGGTGCAGAGAGCTTGCAGAGGATTGGGATGGGATGCACCATCCCGCCCCATACAGGGTGTTTCTTCCCTGGGTAGGAAGAAGCCATGGATCTCACTAGGACAGCAGAGGTGGGTCTCACTGTAGCATGCCATAGAACAGTAGAATGGTTTGGGTTGGAAGGGACCTTAAAGCTCATCCAGTTCCAACCCCTGCCACGGGCAGGGACACCTTCCACTAGAGCAGGGTGCTCCAAGCCCCTGTGTCCAACCTGGCCTTGAACACTGCCAGGGATGGGGTATTTACCACTTCTTTGGGCAACCTGAGAAGTCAAGGTTCACAGTAAAGAACTTGTTCCTTATCTCCAGCCTGAACTTCCCCTGTTTCAGTTTGAACCCATCACTCCTTGTCCTGTCACTACAGTCCCTAATGAAGAGTCCATCCCCAGCATCCCTATAGCCCCCCTTCAGATACTGGAAGGCTGCTATGAGGTCTCCACACAGCCTTCTCTTCTCCAGGCTGAACGTTCTCAGCCTGTCTCCATACAGGAGGTGCTCCAGTCCCTGATCATCCTTGTGGCCTCCTCTGGACTTGTTCCAACAGTTCCATGTCCTCCTTACGCTGGGGACACCAGAACTGCACCCAGTGCTGCAGGTGGGGTCCCACACGTAATGAGTGGCAGCACTAGAGAAGGCAGGTCCCTGTGCCACCACTGTCCCTGCTCCTGCTCCATCTGGTCCTAGGGCTGTCCTGCTGCTCCCTGCAGAGCCCCAGGGCAGGCCAGCAGGAGTGTGGCTTTCTCCACCCAGGCAAAGGACGTGCCCCTTTGCATCAGCTGGATGTGCTGTGGGATATCAGCAGGGATGTGCGGGCATAGGCACACCTGGGGGGATGTCAGCAGTTTGCAGCGCTGGGTCTTGCACAGGCTGGGAACCACCCTCCCGTTTCAATACAGCTCTTTGAAGGGCTGGAGCATGGGGATGAGAGAGATATCACTTGTGCCATCCAGAGCAAGTAACCATCAATCCTCTTGGCGGCTCTTCTTGCTCTTGTCACATCCCCTTCCATGAAGAGCCCAGGTTTCCCACTTGCCCTGTCGTGGCCCTGCTTAAGGAGACCATGGCCTGTGGGAAGGAGATGCTGTGCTGCAGGACCCAGGCCTGAACGTTCTGACTTAAGCAAAGCCAGAGGGGAGCTGGTTTGCTTCAAACCTCACCTGGCAGATGGTCTGCTGACCGAACCTCATGTGTCCCAACTGCTCTGACCCAAGAACTAGCTCTTGGTGCATGCCCATCCCAGTCAGAGACCGCAAATGCAAAGCTACAGGAGGAAATACCATCCAACTACCTGCCTTCACTTCCAAGAGGGGCTTGGTGGTGGCCAAGCCTTGGTGGGAACCTCCTTCCCACCAAGCAGGTATGGGGGAAGCTGATCCAACTCTTGTCCAAGAGGAGGAAACAGCTTGAAAGGCGGGAGAGCTCATACCCTCAACACAGCAGGTTTAGGAGGTCCAAGGACCCCCCAGTCCTAGACTCAGTCCCAGTGCCACCAGGCAGACACCACCATGGCTGTCCTAAAGCACACAGCTCAAGGCGGATGTCTTCCCCCATGATGTGGAAAGCAGAGGGATCCCAAGCTCCCCCTGAGCTCCCCTTTCTGGGAAGGGGGGATTGGTGCAGAGCTGCCCGGAGCACCCAGCACAGATGGTGTCTCTAAATAGCCTGGGGAATGTTTATCTCGTGGACAAGTTTAGGTTTCTAGAGCAGAGAAAACAGATGCTTTTGGGGAGTGTTTCTGAAGCGAGTTTACCAGGAAGGGGTTGAATCACAGATGAAATGTGCTGTACGAAGACTTTACAAGGGAATAAATGCCCCCAACCCCTCCATCTCATCAGGTGTTCAAGCTGGTGCCTTTTGGTGCTAGAAAACGTATTTGGCTCAACTGGCAATGAGGAAAGCATCTTTGAGGTCAAGGCCATCGTGCTATGGATGTCAAGCCCTCCTGAGTCAAACCTCAACTCCTTCCCCCAGATGACAAGGTTTCCCAAGGAAAACAACACTGGCTTCCTTTCATGTGGATTTCTGCAACTTTCTGACTCTTGTTTCCCTGTCCCAAAGGACAAAAAAAGCCTCAAGTTCAGCAACCACAGCAAGAAAAGTGCTTACAGCTCAGCGAGCCTTTGCACATCCCTCCTTAACCAAAGACCAGATGTCACAAGATCACCGCAAGGCTACGAGAGGTGGAGCCGCTGGGTAACATCTCTGAAGAAAGCACTGGAGAAAGCAGCCCCCCATCTCTGAGAGCCCCCCCTAACACCTGCAGTGCCTGTGTTTGACCCAAAACAGCCCAGGAAAGCTGAACTCATCGACTGCCTCTAGGGTGGGAGCAATGCAAGAAACTGAGCCACTCTGGCACAGAGCTAAGGGGGTCCAGCTTCAGGCCTGCTGCTGTGGGCTCTCAGCTCAGCTCAGCTCCCTGCAAGGTGCGGAGCCAGGTTTTGGGAGGCAATGCTACTCACCGGTGGCACAGAGAGGTCCCTCTTCCCCCGCGGCACCAGCACCCTCTGTGGCATCACTGTCTCGTACTTCTCAACATGGGTGAGCTTCTCCTCCAGCCCCGCAGCTCCGCCTGGGAAAAGCCAAGGGGCTTTGAGCAGGGGTGCCCAGCCAAGGAACAGCCCAGCCAGGGGGTAATGGAAGTGATGCAGGGAAGAGCTGAGATGGCAAGTCCTGAAGTACCTGCTGGGAATGTAGCTGCCTGATGGGCTCCAGGGATCATAGAATCATAGAAGGGTTTGGGCTGGAAAGGACCTTAAGGTCATCTGGCTTCAACTCACACTAAACCACGTCACCCAAGGCTCTGTCCAGCCTGGCCTTGAACACTGCCAGGGATGGAGCATTTATGCCGTTCAGGGATGCTCCAGCACCCATCACAGCTCAGCACCGCACATGGGCGAGCAGGATCCTTCCAGGCTGGAAAAGCCGATGGAGACCCCGGTGTGCAAACGAAGGCAGAGTATTTCAGTTCCCCATCTCGATGCCACAGTCTCTGACTTGGCGTCTGGCAGCTGCTGGGGAGGGGGGGTGTTGTGGAGAACGGCTCGTGTCTGGGCTGACTCAGCCCTCCTCCCACCCTCGCCTGTTACCGTGCTCTCCCATAAACCCTTCGCCTTTCCCCCGCGGGAGCCCCGACATCGCCCCGCAGCCCTGCCCCTGCCCCTGCCCCGGCGGTTCGGTGGGGCGGTGGGGCCCGGAGCTCCGGTGCCCGCGCCCACGGCCCCCGGCTGAGTCACCGGCTCCCCCCTCTGCGGGCACCGCAGGCTGGTGGTGACAAATTTCCTCCTCGCTGGGGCTGGTGCCTTTACATAACGGCGGGTGCCCCATCGGGGGTCACCCAGAGCGTGTCCCTCCGCACGAACCCGGCCCTCTGAGCCCCTTTCTCCACCCTTCGCCCTCGAGGGGGCTTGCGGAGGCGATGCCGCCCCATCGAGCCGTGGCCGCAGGGCTGAGCGCGGCAGAGGGAGCAGCCAAAACCTCGCCGGGCTGCGACCCGTCCCCAAGGAGCCGCCGCCGCCACACGCAGCTCCTTGTGCATCCCCTCCTGCGCCGCTTCCCACGCGGCTTTCCCCTTAATCCCCGTGGGGAAAAGCATCCTCCCCATCTCCCACCTCCAACCCTGCCCCACGGCAGAGCCGCCGACCCCTCCGCCTCGGGGGAGCCGGGCTTTTGTCCTGCGACCCCCAAACTTCACGCCCGCCCCGTCGGCGGAGCAGCGGCTGCCTGCGAGTTGCCCCCTGCCCGCCCCCCGCTCACCGTGTCCCGGCGGCGGCAGCAGCAGCAGCGGCAGGAGCAGGACGAGCGCCAGGGCCATAGCTCGGAGGTGCCCGCGATGCTCCGCCGCGCCGGCAGCCCCCGCCCGCCGTGACTCACGGACGGGACGGGGCGGGACGGGGAGGGACGGGGCCGCCCCCGGCGGGGGGCTCGGTGCGGAGCGGGGCCGGGAGAGGCGGAGGAGGGTGTGGATGGGGGGATCGGGGAGCGTCCATAGAGCATCGTGGGCTGTCCACGGGGCATCGGAGGGTGTTCGAGAACCACCCGTGGGACACCAGGAATGGTTTGTGGGATGTCTGGAGCACAAGTGTGATGGGGAACGGCTGAGGGACCGGGGGGGTTCAGTCTGGAGAAGAGGAAGCTCAGGGGGGACCTGATCACTCCTACAACTGCCTGACAGGAGGATGGAGCCAGGAGGGGCTGGGCTCTGCTCCCAAGGAGCAAGGGATGGGACAAGAGGAAACGGCCTCAAGCTGCATCAGGGGCTTTTCCAACCTGATTGATTCCATGATGCTGTCAGAGGTGTGCTTGTGGCATCGGAGGCAGGAGCCACAGGGGCCTCTCTGTGGCTTCAGGGAGAGTCTGAAGTCCACAGGCTCCAAGGGCACTTCCCGGGCACTGCTGGGTTCCACAGGGCTCTGAGGTGGTGACAGCGGGGCACCAGAGGCAACTGGGGGGCACTGGGCAGCTCTACCTAGCTGGGGACTGTCTGTGGGTATGAATGGAGCATCCATGGGGCACCTCTAAGGTGACAGAGGGGCTGGAAGGGCCAGGGCAGTGCCCACTGGACATGAAGGGGATGTCTGTGGGGCACCAAGGTGTAGCAGGAGCTGAGGGTGGCTGGACTGTCAGAGGGCAGTAGCTGGACCTGGGAGACATTGTAGGGTGTTGGTGGGGTGCTGAGATGATGGAGCACTGGGATGATAGAGGGGTCAGGGTCACCATGGGGAATGGGGGTCTGTGTGTTACATCAGGGCATATCAGTGGGGGACTTGGGACCCTCCTTGATCCCAAAGGATCTGCGGGGCTGGGACTACCATGTGGGAACGACATGGGCTCTGTCATGGAGCTGACTGCTGTCTCCCCTTTGTCCAAAGAACATCCAAGGTTGGAAGGGACCTCTGAAGATCATCTGGTCCAACGTGCTGTGGGGCAGGGAGCCTGGATGAGGTTATCCACTGTTTGTTCAGCTGCCTCTTGAACCCCTCCAGGAATGGGGATTTTACCATGTCCCTGAGGAGGTTCTCCCAGCTGGTGGTTGTTCTCTTGTATTTCTTAGGTTGAGGTTAAACCTGTCCTGGTGCAACCCACTGCCCCTTGTCTTCTCCATGTGGCAACTTGTGAAGAGAGACCCTGCTCCCATGACCATGATGGTTTATATGCCATGGTGTTTCAGGCCAGGACGAGCCAGGAAATGCTGCATTTAGCAAAGGAGTGGGTCAGATGTCAAACTCAACTGTTGCAGAGCTCCAACACCAGGGACAAGCTTCCCCCAAAATGGCACAGAAACCAGCAGAGCCAAGCACTGCTCCACTGTCTTCCCTCTTCCTCCTCTCGTCCCTTCTTTAACTCCCTCCTAAATAGACAAGCTTATTTAGAAAACAACAAATACAAGCTTCACCCTTGACACCCCTCATCACGTCTGCTCCGAACTTGTGCTTGTGTGTGAGCAGGATTCCTTGGGATTACTCACAGACGGGTGCCTGGAAATGTGCTGTCAGTTTTAGAAAGGAACGTTTCAGAAGTATCCATTATTGCTGCTGCGGCTCGGGGCTTGCTGGTTAATGATGGACCATTAATCTATAAACAGCTTCAGTCCTGATTCAATTCAAACTGCACGAAAGGAGGATTTCCTGCAGGAGCCACCAATGCTGCTCACTGGGGTAAGGAAACATGCGTGACCAAGGGTGGTACAGGGGAGCCTCTGCTCTCCCCTTCACCCTGAGCTCAAGGGACAGGCAGGGATCTCTCTCTGTCCATAGAAACTGAATGGAAACAGCAGGTCAACTTCTCCAAGCATCCTCCAGACTGAGGGGCCACCTCCACTGGGGCAAGAGGAAACCTCTCCCTTCCCCCTGAACTGCACAAGTGCTTTCCCTAAAGAGCCAGGTGATGCTGGGGGAGGACTTGGTGCTCAAGCTCAACCTTCAGATGCAGGAATCCAGTCCTCCAGAGCCAAGACTGGTGGTCTCCATCCTCTCTATGGGTCTCTCTCCCTCTGCCAAGATGCAGGACCAGCTGTAGGCCACCAGAGCAAGGAGAACCCGGCTCTAACACACTCTAGAAGGTCCTCGCAAAGAGGGTGAGGGGAAGGAAGAGCAGGCATTAACAAGAGCACTCAGCCCTGGATCCACAACCCTCACATGCTTCCCTAGAGTCTCACGCTTGCCACTGAGGCTTCTGGCATGTATCTTGGTTACCCCTTGTTCCCCTTAACACTGCTCTTCCACCCTCTACCATGTCCGCTCCTGATATCCAAGCAATTCCTAAGGCTGAACAACTCTCAAGGTACCCTCAAAGTCCTCTGCTGAGGACGTGGCCAATACGGTATGAACATCACGTACCTGCTCAGCTGCAAAGCCCATCTCCTCAGTTAGAGCAGCTGATCAGCTCCTTTCCAGCAATGCCCCAGTTAGGCTCTCCTCCCAAAATAATGCTGCATGGCAGCTGAGCCACATCTCTGTGAGCAAATCAGCATCTCGCCACATGAAAGTCTAATTCGCACCCTGGTTGTGCTAACAGACAAAATAACCGCCCTTATTCCCTTTATTTACTTATTTTACAACACACAAACACACAACGCAGTAAAAAACAGGACCTGACAAAAGCCTCTCAGAAGAGAAAGCCCAATACAATCATCCCAGAGACTGTACATTGTCCCATAATGGACAACCCTTATGGCTCGTCTTCAGCTCACGTTCTGAACGCAGAGGGTTGGGTGCTCCCAGCCTGAGGTGAGCCAGGGTCCGGGTCTCTGCTGGTGCGGAGCAGGCGGAAGGGCAGCGGGAGCAGCAGCAGCAGCAGGGTGTCACTGGGCAGGCACGGCCGGGCGGGCAAGCAGGGGAGCTGCCTTCTGGCTGCGCTCGGCAGACATGTGCTCCAGGCGCTCCGTGTAGAACCCATTGAAGTCCAACCTGAGAGACAAAAGCCCCAGAAGTTTCAGCTCAGCGCTGCCCCTGAGAACTTGGTGCTCATGGGCGTGGAGGGATCCAAAACCACAGGGGAAGCAGATGGACTGCGGGGAGTTGGGTGATGAGAAGCCCCTCATGACCTGGCTTCAGTGAGCGCTTGAGCCCAGAACCCCCCCATGTGCTGGGCTGCACCCCCAGAGCGTGAGCAGCAGCTCAGGGAGGGGATTCTCCTCTGCTGCGTGAAGGGGAGACCCCCCCCTGCAGTCCTGATCCAGCTCTGGGGCAAGAGCACAAGAGGGACACAGAGCTGTTGGAGCAAGTGCAGAGGAGGCCATGGAGATGCTGCGAGGGCTGGAGCAGCTCTGCTCTGGAGCCAGGCTGAGAGAGCTGGGCTGCTTCAGCCTGGACAAGAGAAGGCTCCTTAAGGGGAGACCTCAGGGCAGCTCCAGTGCCTAAAGGGGCTGCAGGAAACCTGGAGAGAGGCTTTGGACAAGGGCCTGTAGGGACAGGACAAGGGGAATGGCTTTAACCTGCCAGAACAGGGGAGACTGAGATGAGCTCTTAGGCAGAAGCTCTTCCCTGTGAGGGTGCTGAGGCGCTGGCACAGGGTGCCCAGAGAAGCTGTGGCTGCCCCATCCCTGGCAGTGTTCAAGGCCAGGTTGGACACAGGGGCTTGGAGCACCCTGCTCTAGTGGAAGGTGTGCCTGCCCATGGCAGGGGGCTGGAATTGGATGAGCTTTAAGTTCCCTTCCAACCCAAACCATCCTAAGATTCTGTGACAGTCTTTTATAGGGTGAGATGAATTTTAGAATGATGTTGGTTCAAATGAGGGATGCGAAGCAAAGCAAGTCTCACTGTGGGAAGCAGCAGATGATGCACCACAGGACAGACCTCTCCAGTGCTTCACTGCCCCTGCCCACAGCCTTGCTCTTCTCCAACCATGGCTGCTGGAGAAGTCTCTCCTAGGGCTTGAATGTGGCCACACCACAGTGGTCTCTGGACCTGCCATTCCCAACACAGGGCTCCCCCGGGCTGGGTAGACACAGTGGCTGGTCCAGAGTGAGATGGGGATGTCTGCACTGTGCCATAGGCTCTTGTCAGTGCTACCTCTTCTGTGCTCATCCCTTGATAGATGGCTGCATTTCACCTGTTCTTTACATTATAAAATACATCAGGAAGCACCAATTGCTGCTTCTCCAGAGCCATGGCTTGACCACACAGTCCTGGAAACCTGTCACTCGGGGACAAGGTGCCAGGGCTGAAGGCTCCTCGGTCCCTGCATCTTCCTGACCCCTTCCCACCGCTCCTTAATACCACCACTGAACTATGGTTCATATGATTCCCATATGAAATCCACCATTTATCCACTGTAACTACCACAGAATGTTGCATTCCCACCACCACCATCACCTTGCTAACACAAGCATGCTTCAAACAGATTCATGATTCAAGAAGATGAGGAACTGGTCGGAAGGTGCTGAGGCAAAATCGCAACTACTGCTGATACCTGTAAACGCCTCTCCACAGCAGGAGATGCACTCAACCACCTAAACCAAACCTCCAAAAGAGGTGAAAGCCTGAACTGTAGCCAGAGCAAGAACTCCTCCAGCAAACCCACCAAGGGCAGAGTGACCCAGAAAGCATCGATGAATATGAGCTTGGAGCACTGACCATGCCATTAGCACATGCCTAGCACGTGGCTTTTCCAAGACTCATTTACCAAGGACCAAAGCAAGCGGTGGGTACAAGGAGTCTCGAGCATACCTTTCCCACTGCGTGCAATTTGACTACAAGCCAACCACTTTATTCCATGAAAAAGGCAGCTTAAATGAGCCTTCTTTGAGCTCTCCCTGATAGGCAGCAAGGCTGCTGCATGCCTGTGATCTCCCCTGGAGCTGAGAGGCCTCTTCAGATTGCTCTTCAAAGCAGAGAGAGCTGTCATCT